CGGGACTTCACCGCTCCATCTCGCTGCTGATTTGGGACACACCGACTGCCTGCGAACGCTTCTCGAACTCAAAGGCGTCAACGTCAACGTCAAGACTAAAGAAAACCAGCAAACTCCGCTCCACCTGGCTGCTATCAGAGGCTTCGACGAATGCCTAGCCGTGCTTTTGAAGAAGGGGGCCAATCCCAACGCGAAGAACCACATGGGGCAGACGCCGCTGCACCTCGCAGCCAGAATGCAGGACTTTGTCTGCATCCAGCTGCTGCTAACCGAGGGTTTGGCCAACCCCAACACCGAGGATAAGGACAGGCGGACGGCTATGCACGCGGCTGTGGGTAAAGCCTCTAGGACAAACGACATCATAGCCGCTCTGGTTGAATGTGGGGCTAATGTGAACGTCAAGGACCAGTACGGTTATACTCCGTTGCATATAGCCGCGCTCAAAGGTTTGGCGGAGTGCGTGGAGACGCTTATTTACCACGGAGCTGACGTCAGCGCTAAGTGCAAGAGTGGGATGACAGCGTTGAACATCATCACCAAGAAGGTCCCTGCTTCCTTCTCCATGTTCATCAAGAAGCTGGACTCGGCCATCACATTACACCACAAGGAATCTTCCAACCACGAGATAGAACTACGTTTGGACTTCAGGGTCATTCTACAATACTGTCACCCAAGAGAAATAAATTTCCTGGACACCCTAGTAGACGAGGGCTACAAGAGGGTGCTGTTGCACCCTTTGTGCTCTGCCCTGCTGTACCTCAAGTGGAGAAAAATTCGCAAGTACTACCTAGCCCGCATCATTTTCTCCTGTCTCTTCGTCATGACCCTATCGCTCTACGTCTTGACAGCTCTAGCACACCACTGCTACAACTACGGCAAGAAGTTCAACGAGATGAACTCCGAGGACGTGATAGAGCTGTGCGAGAAACAGTCTATCATGGGCCGACTGCTGAGAGACAATCCCTTCGTCATGGAGATGCAGTGGTTCGTCCTGGTGGGCATAACTTGCTGCGAGATCTTCAGGAAGATGTACGGGATACCAGGGTACCATTCGCTAAGGCAGTACTTCTCCTACCCTGAGAACATCATCGAGTGGTCGGTTATCATCAGCGTGTTCGTGATATCCTTTATTTATACTGGTAGGACTTACACTTGGCAGAATCACATTGGAGCGTTCGCCATCCTTATAGGCTGGACGAATTTGATGCTGATGGTGGGGCAACTGCCGCTATTTGGAAGCTACATAGCCATGTACACGCGGGTGCAAAGTGAGTTTGCCAAACTGCTGCTCGCCTATTCAGGTCTTCTAATAGGTTTCACCTTGACCTTCTGCGTGATATTTCCTGACTACAACATTTTCGCCAACCCGTTCATTTCTCTGATCACGGTGTTCGTGATGCTGTCTGGGGAACTGAATCTGGACATCTTGGTGGACGACAATCCCGACAACCCACATTTCCTGCTCGAGTTCAGCGCCCAAGTCATCTACATAGTGTTCGTGCTGACGATGACCATCATCCTGATGAACCTGCTAGTGGGCATCGCTGTGGACGATATCAAGGGGCTGCAGAAAACGGCGACGCTATCGAAGCTCGTGAGGCAAACAAAGTTGATATCTCACATGGAGCTGGCACTGTTCAATGGCAACCTTCCGAGGTACCTGCTGCAAGTGCTACATTGGACCGCCTTGGTATCTCCCAAATCCTCCAAGGTGGTACTCACTCTGAAGCCGCTGAACCCGAAGGAAAACCGCCTGCCCAAGGATGTGATGAAGGCGGCTTTCCATATAGCCGAACGTTACAAGAGGCTGGAACACCCCACTTTCACTCTGAATGACAGATTGGACTATTACAATATCGATAAGGAGTTGCACAGTCACGAAGATTGCATGGAGAATACCGTTCCGATCATGAGGATCTATGAGGAGATTAAACAGAAGAACGAGGAAATTGATCATCTGCGGAGATCTGTGTTGGAGATGAGGAATACGTTTGCTGAGAGTCAAGAGACTACTGAGAATCTATTGAAGGCGCTCTTGCAAGTAAGAAGGGGAAGTAGATGTTGAGTTGACCCAGGTGCTTGGGAATATCGGGAATAGAGTGTGGCGAAGAAGATATTGGCTGTAGTTCCAAGGTGGAATTTTATTCAAACTTTATGCACTGATTGATTGCATTTTTCAACTCACTGAGTTGATCTGACTGACCTAGTGGATGTTTACAAATCAATAAAATGTTTCCACTTGTGAGATTAATATAAGTGAATGTGTTTTGTTCTTTTAATGAACAAAACAATGCTGAAGCTGTGCTGTAATCACAGTTTTTGCTTGACATGAACGAACTGAATCAGAATTTTTGAAGATTGAATTATGCTTATAAGAAACATTATCGTAACACAAAATAGACTATTGAAAATAAATATGATCCATAAAGGATTTGATATCTGTGTTGTAGAACAATGTAGGGAATCACTCATGGACTTAATAAAGTGTACTCATATTAATTTAATTATTTGTTGTTAATTATTTCATGAATTACACTCTTCCAGTGAGATGTCACCATTAAATTACATCAAACTCGTGGAATCTGTATTGTTTTATTGATTTTAAATCATCGAATATTTTTGGTCATAAAAATTCAATACTCCGTTGCCCTTTTTCATATCATCGATTTTTTTGGTGGTGATTTGAAACTACACGAGAAGAAGCTTGTGAAGATGATATTTCTTAAATATTTCCGAAATGCCCTGATGTGATAAAATCATGCTATCTGGTACAAGAACTATACTTTCCATGCCCAATGCATTGAAAATGAAATTATTCCAAAATTCGATTCAGGAGTGTATAATACATGGTGGGACTACATTGAATATTGCTCAAAGTTTTGCATATGCATATTTTTTGTCAATTTGATCTCGGATTCTGGAAATTCACACCATTCTACAAAAAAAACAAATTCTCTAATTTCGTATCGATCAGATGTATCATTTTCGAATGAAATCGATTTAAGAATATTGTTATATCTCAGATATACAATCTTAGAGAAACGCGTAAAATGGGAGAATGCTGATGAAAAACCTTAAATTTTGGGATTTTTTTTCCATATCCACTACGATTTATTGTAATGTTATGCATAATATCGCAAATTGATGATACATCTGTTTGATACGGAATAAAATTACCTTTTTCTGTGAAGAGGTGTCGATTTTCATAATCCGAGATTGAATTGTCGAAAACTATACTTACAAAAAAGTTTGAGCAATATTCAATGTTGTCTCACCTTGTATTATACACTCCTGAATGGAATTTTGAAATGATCTTGGTCCCACTGCATGGGGCATGAGAAGTCTAGTTCTTGTACCGAATTGCATCATTTCATCACGTGGCGTTTTGGAAATATTCCAGAAATATCATCTTCAGGTGCTTATCCTTTCAAGGGGTCGTAGCTCGCTCAGGAGACATTTCTCGACCCCTCTTTATTGAAACTTCTATTCCAATTTTTGATCGTAGAAGCCGCATATGAAGTTTGGCAGGCTAATAACGGTACACTCTGTATATACAGATATAAACAGGGTGTTTCATTACTAATTGGAAATATTTCAATCATAGAATCCCGAACTCAAAATATGAAGATTTAACCCAAATCATCTAGATAAATTATGTCTCCTGTCTGAGTTACAGGGTGTTTTATCCAAAAATTTTGAAATGTTCTTTGCCCAGTTTTTCAAAACTATTTAACGTATCACTTTCATATTTGGAGGGAAGTCTAGGTATTATAGACCCAACTGAATTATGTGAAATGCACTTTTCTAGCTATTACCAGAGGCGTACGACAGTGACAATTAACTGGTTGATCCCTCCCAAATTCTACGCCACTGGCGGAATTACAATTCAATCACAAATTTTTGATTATACAACAATTTTGACGTAGAGATTGTACTCTTTCTCCATGGCGATGAAGTCATTATTTTTCGAGATATTTCAAGTTGAACATAAATCTGCACAATCATTTTGATTTCAATGTGCAATAATTTTGTCAATATTTTGGATCTCTTGATTGTATTCATCGATAAATTGAAACTTCAATCCATATTAACAATAAAAACATATAATTACATAACAGACAGGAGCTGTTACAGGGTGTTCAATTATGTAAAATATTAAAAGATTTAAAACGCCCTGTAACAGCTCTGTTATGTTTTTATGTAAATATGGATTGAAGTTCCATTTGATTGATGAATGCAGTCCATTGATCCAAAATATCGTTATTATTGATACACATTAAAATCAAAATAATTGTGCTGCTTTATGTTTGACTTGAAATATCTCGAAAAATAATGACTTCATCGCTATGAAGGAAGAGTACAATATCCACGAAGAAGGTATCGAAGGATCGAAAAATTCTGATAAAATTGCAATTCCGCCAGTGGCGTAGAATTTGGGAAGGATCACCCAGTTACTTGCCCCTGTCGTACGCCTCTGATAATAGCTAGAAAAATTAAATTTACATAATTCAGTTGGTTGTGTAATACCTACACTTCCCTCCGAATATGAAAGTGATACGTCGAATAGTTTTGAAGAACTGGGCAAAAAACATTCCAAAATTTTTCAATAACTCAGACAGAAGACATATTTTATCTAGGTGATTTGGGTTGAATCTTCATATTTTGAGGTAAGTAAATATGTCCAATTAGTAATGAAACACCCTGTCAGTGCCGGATTCATACTCACTTACGCCCGGGGCTAACTTTTACGATGCCGCCGCGCCGCCGCCAAATATTAAATTTCAATTGTCAGTTTCAAAATTCAAAGAGCCCTTTCAGTGCTTTTTTCATCGGGATTGGACACCAAGTGTACACATATTGGACATAGTGGCTGACCCCTCGTTTTTTTCACAGCATATAATAATAACATGAAATCATTATGTACAACGAATCAAATTATATTTACTTCACACAAATATAACAACAAACAACAAATATATATTTTTTTTTTCAGATCAATACTATAATACTTTTCTTGATTTTTTTGAAGCAAAGTCGTCAATGGCATCATCGAAATTCAGATTCAATAACATGTCACTGTTAATACTTAAAATTGATATGCTATTCAATGTATCCTCTACCATGGAATTTCTAATGTAGTTTTTCACTCTTTTTAAAGTTGAGAATGACCTTTCACCACTGGCATTACTAATCATCAGAGATAGGAACATTCTTAGAGCTACTTCCACGTTGCAGAAAGTATCTGTGATCTTATATTTGTGCAAAAGCGCCATCAAAGACCTTGCATTGAATATTTCATCACTTTTGTTTTCGGCAATAGAATTCAGGAAATATTTCAATTGAACACATTCATTACCGAGGGACTCATCTACATCATTTGGGTATACATCAATCAAAACACGTGCTTTATCTACGATAACATCATCTGGCAGAGACGCAATTGAGAACAAAAATGAGAATGTAGAAGAGAGATCCTTGTAGGCTTCAGCACGAGTATTTACTTCACTCACCAAATGATCGACTGCTTTGAGGAATACCTGGGTTCGCATTCTGGTCTGTGGTGTCAATAAAGCTTCAGTGTCAGCTTCTTCAAGAGCCAGTTTTCTCTTACGGGTTCTGACATCCTCTTTATAGTTAAGTTCTTTTGAGAGTAATTGTGCCTCTTTTTCGTAAAAATTGAACTTTTCCCGCAAACATTCATAATATTTTCTCAATGAAATATATAAACTGAGACACGTGTCCAGGCCTATGCTTGAGTTTTGCAGGGACTTGCTGACTTGATCTGCTCTCTCTAATATATCATACCAGAAAACAACCAGAATGGCAAACTCGAGTGTAGATTTTTTTTTTGCCAGTGCATCAGCTTGACAGCGAACTTGCATCTTTTCCTCTCCGTTCTGGCTTATTTTATAAAGTGCGTCTTTAATCACCTGGTAGCCGTACTTCAAAGCCTTCACTGCATCAAATCTAGCAGACTATCGAGTGATATTTAGCCTTTTGGGCAAAAAAGTTGACTGTCCACTCTCTTTCAACATATCTGCAAGTAACTGCCATCTACGGGTCGAGGCTGAAAAAAACACATATATTTCCTCAACCAGAAGGAAAAATGATGCAGTTTCCATGGAACAAGCAGCAGCATGTTGGATAACAAGATTAAGAGAATGTGCTGCACACGGAACATACTTCACCAAATGATTTACTGATTTTATTCTTGCTTGCAATCCACTGTAAATACCGGACATGTTGTTTGCGTTGTCGTATGATTGACCCCGACAATCAGCTAGATTTAGAGTGAGTTTTTCCAATGTCTGCATAACCGCAGTCTGCATATCTTCACCTTTATGTCCAACGTTCTCTAAAAATGAAATGAACCTTTCCACTGGTTCGCCGGAATCTGCACAGTATCTAACAATGAATGTCAGTTGATCTGTGTGTGTCACATCTGGGGTGGAATCAACTGAGATGGAATAATATTTTGCACTATGAATTTGTCTTACAATTTCTTTCAACACAATTTCCGATATTATCTTCAGAAATTCACCAGAAATTTCTTTCGATAGGTATGAAAGTGAACCTGATCCTCTCGATGCAAACTTATCAATATGTTCTTTCAATAAGGGGTCATATTCTGCTAGGAGCTCTAATAGTCCCAAATAGTTTCCATTATTAATTGATCCAAATTTTTCACTTAAACCTCTGAATGGCAATCCTCTACTCGCTAAAAATCGTATAACGCTAAGAACCCTGAACAGAATAGAGCGCCAATAATTTCTATTGTACAATTATTGTTCCTCGCGTAGAGAGTCATCAATCCTCTTGATGTCTGATGACGTTCTCGATATATAAATTTTCAGACTCTCTACATGGCAATTCGATAATTCGTGACTGCTACACTTTTCCAAGGCTTTTTTCCAGTCGCTAAATCCATTGGAAAAAGTGCGATTTGTTTTTGAAAACAATTTACAATACTTGCAGAATAAGTTTCCGGTACTGGTAGAATAGACAAGCCAATCACGACGAATTTTTTCACCATTTTTTTTTTGTTTTTATAGAAAAATGACTTATTGCAGTATCGGTACTGATTTCCCATTTTTCTCCTTGAAACATCAAAGTCTAAAGAACCAAGGTCTTGAGTTTTGAAATTCTCAAGTACCTTTTCCACGATACCAGAATCTTGTGTCCAGAAACATGGATCGTGTATATCGATGGACGTGGACAAATTATACACCTGTGTTAACAAATCTTCCGACGATATCTCTGTCTCTGTCTCTGACAAATAATCTACGCTCGGATTATCAGGTGAATCGGATGATTCATTGTAACCATCTGACATTATTGTCTCTGTGAAAAAAACTCTCAGTTATTGCCAATATTCAATGAATTAGGAATTTGTTGTGATTATCCCTTAACAACTCGTGTCCATATTTTGCTCATCCATTTTTGAGATTCAAACTTTTCTTTTTCGCGTACCTACTGAATGTAAAAAAATATAAAACTTACCATTCCCGTCTTGAGAACGTGAAGTTCCCGGAGACGGTTCTAATTCTGTCTCATTTGAAGTGAGAAAAAATGAATGTATTTTAGGGCATTACTTGATAACTTCATCTAACTGCTTTTGTTTGTTGATCTTCTGCCGTTTCCAGAATGCACCACCTTCTTTTTTCCTCATTTTTTTTCAAATTTCTCTATTTCAGCTTCAATGATTATCATTACCAACGACAACCTATCAAATACTGAACTCTGGTTTTGTTTTTTGTTACCGAGTTCACGAAATTACCCCTACTCTACTGAGTAGAATGCGGTTTTTTTCTCTTCATCAAATAAGCGTATGAACCGCCGCCGCCTTTGTATTGTAGCGTCCAAGACACAGCTGGACGCTAAATTAGTGCATGTTATGAGTTTCGCAAAAACAGTATCTCAACCAAGTCCTTTTGATGCGGTGCCGACTGCCAGCGGTAGCTAATTGCGCGTTTTTTTCAAAAGGCGACTAAAGAGGCGGCATAAATATGTGATAAAAAGTAAGAAGCAATATAATTATTATTTGTCGCCTCCTCGGCGAGTCGGCGATAGAGTATATTGCTGCTTGCTTTTTCTCTTTCTATCTACCGCCTCTTGAAATTCACCGCCGGGGGCTGATAGTCCCATAGCCCCCCCCTAAATCCGGCACTGCACCCTGTATACTTTCGAAACAATCATTTCGTTGAAAATGTCTGACTTTCATCTAATTAATCTCATACAGAATTATAATTTCTATGATCTTACATTCCAGAATGTAGAAATATATGTGGAATTTAAATCAGAAACAATCACATTATAAATTAGAATTATCTTTATTGATATGTATAAAGAGTCATTCATCAGTCGTATAAGTTATCTTTTTTATGAATGTATCACTTGATCCCTCATTTGACGCAAAAAGGGGCATCTGAAAACAAATAAACAATAATTAACAATTTTATGACTTTTTAATGATGATAGAGCATAAAAAACTAATCCTGACTCTCTCCATTCAGCATAATATACATGAACAGTCTAGCAAATGAGTGAACAATACAAGAGGGAAAAAAGTTTTAATATTTTTTTGAAAATAAATCAAGTGACGAGAGAAAATTGGATCGCATGTTTTTCAAATTAATATCAGTTTTTTTGGTACCCAGCTGCCATTGAAATATTGAAGTGTCACGGGTTTTCGTTTTTTCAGATAAAAAATCCGACTTCCATCTCGATATTTCTACTGATTCTTTTCTCGAATTTTCGAAATACTATAATACTGCGTTCAACCTCCTGCAGTGACCCGTCAAGACGGCACATTAGAAGTATTTGAAGTTGTCTAATTTGATGAACTCTCTATTTCTTCCGTTTACTGTTCCCTATGAAATCGGAGGGACTCTGTATAATTATGAAGGAATTGTACGATATTTTCGTAGAGCGTATTGAAGAATCGAAAATTGTGAAAGAATGGCAATGCCACCAGTGGCGTTGAATTTGGAATCGATTAACCAGTCACTTGCCCCTCTGGTACGCCTGTGGTAGTAGCCAGAGACGTTCATTTCGCATAATTCAGTAGGGTGTATAGAATCTATGAATGAAATAAAGTGGTGAACATTATTCCAAAGCCTCCTTGATGTTGGTGGATTAAGTCGAACCATGATTTATTCTTAATTTTTGACTCACCCTGTGTGTTAATTGAATAATGGTATACAAAGTGCTTACACCCTATACGAGAGAGGCTTCTCTTGCGAGCATTTTGGTTTTTTATTCATTGATTTATCTCTAAAATTTCTCGAATTACAGCTTTTTTGCTGATACCTTCCGCTTATCCCACAAATTAAATTTATTGAAGGATCAGAGTACTCAAAATTGATTGGGTTGTACTCTGGTAGGATCACATTGTCTTTAAGAAAACAAATGCCGTTGCAATCCGCAAGTATGAACAAACAGGAAGCACCGCTTGGAGGGTCGGTTCTGGTCGCCCCCGAAAAACTTCTCCAAGAGATGATCGCTTCTTGAGATTGCTGATTTTACGGAATCGAACAAATACTGCGGTAAATGTTCAGCAAGATCTCCGCCAAATTCGTGATGTTGCAGTAAGTAAGCAGACAGTATGTAGACGTCTAAAAGAAGTTAATTTAAAAGCTAGGAGACCTGCAAAAGGTCCCAAATTATTGCTCGAACATCGTGCTGCTAGAAGAAATTTTGTTGAAAGTTATGGACAGTGGAATATTCCTGAATGGTCGAATGTCTTGTTAACGGATGAGTCAAGGTTTTGCCTTAACATGGTGGATGAAAGAAAAAGGATCTTCTTGCAAAATTACTGGATTGGTGAATGTGAGACCTCGCTACTACTATGCCAAAAGTATTTTCGAAATTTGAATACATCAATATACTATAACCAATTCTACATGAGCCTTCAATAGTGGTAAAAATGGGTTTATCAATTATAACTTGGCAACGCCGCAACCAAATTCAATTTTTTCCCCAGCGATGTAGAGCTAAACCTCAGCGGAATGAATTTTGAATAAAAATACTGGGTGTTCTATTGATAAAAACTCGTCTCCGCTTTTATAAAACACCCAGTATTGTTGAAAATATTTTTGAAATGTAAACCTCCAATAACGGAAAAAAGGACCAAGCACACATTATATGAGAAAATGTCTTTCGGTGAAAATGGCTGGATTTTTGATATGTTGTAGCTGTAGTCATTCTAAGTAAAAGACTCCATTGGCCCAACTCGATCGTACGACCAGATTCGGCGCTAGAGGGTGAAACATCATGAATTTTGTGTATTTTTGAGTCTTCGAAGATTAATGAAGATTATGGAAATCTCGTGATATGCATTCACGAGATTTTCATATTCTCAAAAATATACACAAAATTCATGATGTTTCACCCTCTAGCGCCGAATCTGGTCATACGATCGAGTTGAGCCAATGGAGTCTTTTACTTAGAATGACTACAGCTACAACATATCAAAAATTCAGCCATTTTCACCGAAAGACATTTTCCCATATAATGTGTGCGTGGTCCTTTATTTTTGAAAGTTTTTCTATACTGATAATGGATTTCGAGATATCGAAGAATTACGCACTAAATGGACACACTGTATAGTTGTAATATTTCCAATTACTACTGAAATACCTTGTTTACTGATATACAGGGTGTCCCAGAACAACGAACATTAAATTCAACAGGGTGAACTAGAGTTCAAAATAGGTCGATTGGGACCAACTTACCTCTGTACGAAAATGCACCGTAGGGCCGTGAGAGGGCGATGAATGGATTTTTTTTTTCAGATTTTATTGAATATTTCAAAATCCTTGAGAGGTAATGATCTGAAATTAGGAAGGCAGTGAACTATAAGAAGTGTGCATAGATAACAGGTCTTATCAGTGCAATCGATATACAGGGAGATATAGATTTAGCATTCTGATTGGAGAAAATCCATAGAACTTTTTTTGAGTACGCCACTAACCATATTTTAATATCTACTTGAATAACAAAATCAATTATCTATCTTTTTTCTCATCACATTTCCTTCTAAATTTTGCTTGGTTAACGAGATATCTGAAAAAATTCTTACGGAGTCCCTCCATATCATCCATAGTCCAAAATATCAGAGTTATTGTGTTCTGCAGGTTTCTTCCTCCTTCATGTTGATATTTTGGTCACGTATTCATGTTAATTATTTAATAACCTTTTCATCATACAGGATGGCCCATTTTCAACTTGACAGGGAGATTTTGGGTGATTATAGCGTAGATACGAAAAAATCCTCAGATCTGTCGATTTTAGTTTGCACCTCCTGCTACCAATCAGAGTCGTTTGTAGGTTTTTTTCGTTATGTTGAGAGTTCGGGGCATATCATATCATATCAACTACTTTTTCTGCTCAATCATTGCTTAGTAAGAGATCCATCAAGCGGTATTATCATTATTTTCATCCCATATGTCACTGTCA